CGGTTTCCCCCACAGTCCAAAGACATGTGGTACAGGTAAATTGGGTAGGCTAAATTGTCCGTACTGTATGATTGTGCGCGTGAATGTGTGTGTGGTTTCCCAGAGATGGGTTGCGGCTGGAAGGGCATCCGCTGCGTAAAAAAACTTGCTGGATAAGTTGGCGGTTCATTCCTCTATGGCGACCCCGAATTAATAAAGGGACTAAGCTGACAAAAAAATGAAAGAATAAATGAATATATATATATATATATATATATATATATATATATATATATATATATATATATATATATATATATATATATATATATTCGATATGAAAAAAAACAACTCTATCCTTTTCAATTTTGTCTGTATATCAGTTGTTTTATCCTGAATGCAATAAATTCTTCTCATTTTGTTTAATAGCAGACAAACTAAAATTCATAGTACATATACATTTTTAACTCTCATATTTTTGGCCTAGATGATGTAAGTAAAATGTGACACACACACTCTCCCCATCCACATATAAATAGTCTTTCTTTGCTTCCTCTTTCATTTGTTTCTCATTATTCTTTAAATATTTGAGCAGCCTAAAGAGCACATTTTTAGCTTTTCTCATTTTTCTTCTTTCTGGAAGCTGTTAAAAGAGTTCCCTTGAAACTCCTACATAAAGTTGATTTGGACTGGATATTTTATGTAATCTCTCAGATGATATATTTATTTAGGACGTTCACTTAAATCTTTGGTTTTGTTGGTTCGACTGAGCCGTTTTCTTTATTTATTTGTGTCTGCAAGCACAATTACACTTTTATTAATGCAAATCAACATGTTATGCCACTGTCAAAATAATAATGATAATATACAATTATTCCTTCACTTTTTTTATCAGTTTATTAAACTTTAGAGATTTAACAGTCATTTTACAGAGAAATTTAAACAAATATTATTATCACCCCTTTCCTCTAAACAAGATGAAATTACATTTATCTAAGAGAGAAAATAAAAAATAATAATGATAATAATTAAATAATAAATTAAATAATAATGATAAAAATAAACAAAAATATTCAATAAACTAAATGACAACAAATAATAAAAAAAAAATCAATAAATTAAAAAATAAAAAACCTGTACAATATACACATATACCTTTATAAACCAATATTACAGACATTAATCCTCAGGTATTTATGCAATGTACTTAATTACATTTGCATTGCAATTGAATGGCCCTAAGATTTAAATTTAACAGTTTGCAGAGATACTGACATGCAAATTCTAAATGAGTCCCATGTTTTAGAAAAAGCCCTAGTATTGCTATTTATTGTAAACCTGATTTTTTTCCAAATTGATAAAGCTCATTGCATCTCGCAACCAGTTGTCAAAACTCAGGCGAAATCTTTGTTTCCATAATAAAAGAATACACCGTCTTGCTAACAGTGTCAACAATGCCAGGGCGTTTGCAGTACAGCTCAATAACCCTGCTATATTTGGAGAAAGTCCATCTTTGTCACAGAAGAGAAACACTTAATAGCTAAAAAGATCCATCACTTTTTTCGTTACTTTGACCTGTTTGGAGGTTTACTAGCAGTTGTTTAGTGCTTAAAAACATTAGCCAAGCTATATTTGATGTTTTCCTGTTGGTTTAAGATGTGTGTACTAGCCGTTATTTCTTTGTTTTAAAAAGAAGTGTCCTAAGATCAGATGGTGAGCAATTTAAAGCTTTGTGCTGTGCTGATTACATTTATTATCACATTTAAGCAGTAAAAAAGCCAAAAAACAAGGTGTCTGAATCAAGGACTGCTGGGAACACACTGTTCTGAACCCCTTTACAGACAATAAGTGGAAGGAGAATTGTGTAGAGCCATTTCTGACGCTCTTCAACAACAATAACAGCTTGTTCTGAAAATGCGTCATTTCGACGTAATTCTATATTTACATACTTTGCATTTCAGCACAGCAGGTCTAAAACATTTTGAGCTTGTCCACTTTTAATCACTTACTCGGGTAGTTGAAATGGCTTTACACTGTATTCATGACTGAATGCATTTAATCAGCTACAAAAGAACTACACTTTGCCTACCGACCCAACACTAGGGGGGTAGGCAATACCGTTTTTGTTTAGTTTATTTAATATGATACCCAAACTTCTTGTTAAAATTTAATGCTATTGTTTCCTCCGGGTGCTCTGGTTTCTCCCACAGTTCAAAGACATGTGCTATAGGTGAATTGAATTAACTAAATGGGCCGTAGTGTATGTGTGGGGATAAATGTGAGAGTGTGTATGGGTGTTTCCTAGTACTGGGTTGTGGCTGGAATGGCATCCGCTGCATATTATTTATGCTGAAGTAGTTGGCAGTTCATTCCGCTGTGGTGACCCTTGATAAATAAAGGATTAACCAAAGAAGAATGAACAAATGAATGATTGAATGAAAGGGGCTTTTTTATATAAGGGTGTATGTGAAATGTTATATTATATTTGTAAAATAATGCTTATTTTAGCACCATTATAAGTAAAGAAATATATTCTTTGTATTTTAATTATTTATTTTGCATAAATATGGATAAAATAGTGTAATATTGATCTAATATCTAATTATAGTATAAATTAACTGAAATGTCATGTTTTGTTTGTTTTTAAACAGGTTTTTGTTTTTCTCTTTTTTGTGTTTATAAGCCTAAAAAAGTAAAAATAGGCATTGATTTGCTCCACTTTTTTAATGAAGGTTTTCATGGTTACATTATAAAGAGATGAGCAACATTTTCATACAGTGTATTTAAGATATATCGCGTTTCAATCAGGCTTGGTGTTGAGGAAAAGGAACATGGTGAAATTATATTGCTTTAAGTCCATTTCACTTTTAACTTTCTGTCCTGAAATCACAGTGACCTATAAAACACAGTGGCTGTGCCTTGATTTTCTTGGTTAATGTGACATCGGTCACCTAATGATATTAGTATTGTAGGACAAACATCACACACAAATACTGAAAACATTTCAAGGAACAGTTTCACAGGAACCAACCTTTTGTATAATCACAAATTGATCATTAAATCCTTTTATAAATGTATTGATATCAATCCAGTAGCTTGTGGGTATCGATATCTATCAATACTGAAGCATCAATATGCCCATCTGTAAACACATGATCATTATGGGAGGTTCTGTAAGCAAACACTCCAATACAAGGGATTCATATATAAGTGCATGTGCATTGTAGCAAATCTTTGTATTGCATAGTTGCATTGACATCTTTTTTATTCAGATGCTTTTCCTCTGACTTGTGAGCTGTGTAAAATAATTTCTTTAATCCAATTGATGAAAGTAAGAGGGAACCTTCTTGACACAACACCAGGTGGAAACCATAATTCATTTCAACTGACCACTTGTGATTTGTTCAGTTAAATGTGTCAAAGGTGCACTGGATGATTTGTCTTCAGAACTTTTTTTTATCATGCTGGTCCAGATGTTTTTATATGTAGCTGTATTTTAATATTCTGTGGAAGACGCAGGACTAAGAAAAGTTTGTCCAAATAAAACGTTCGGTCCGATCATTACAATAGGCTGTCCTACCTGCCTTTTAAAATGTATAATTGCATGCCTCTGCATCTTTTCGTACAGAAAGGATTGTTCATCGCTGCATTCACAAATGCGGTTCAGACACACGCTCGTGTTTGTAGTCGCGTCTTGTGTTTCTAGTCCAAATATTTTAAAAATTCTTTAAAGAGGCACCTATTATGCAAAAATCACCTTTATAAGGGCACAGTTGTGTGGCAACCAGCTTCTGATTGTAAAAATTAATACTATTTTTATAATCACAATTGATAAAAACACTTTACATGTCTGCAGAAACACTTTGATTGATATTCTCCCTTTGTACGTGTCATCAGAGGGGAAAAGCCCCGCCCATTAGTGACGATCTCTCCCTCATTAGCATAGGACGTTAGTCTTGTTTTTGAATCTGCCACTATCCGCTTGTTAAGTGGTTACGTGTTTGTGACGTATGTAATACTGTTTCTGGGTCCAAGCCGCCATTCATGAGTGGAGAAATCATTCGTTTATCATCACGTTTTATTCCTATCACACATTAAAGTAATAGAATCATTGTGTACACAACAATCTCTGGGCTTGCTGCATAACAAATACCAAAAATTTAACAATTTATAAAAAAATAATCACTTTCTGGCAATCTGATATAAGGCATGGACTTAAATACTGCGATCGTGTTTTTCGAAAGCCTTAAATCGCTTTGTAAACGTTTATTATCACCATTTCATGAGTCTCCCTATTCAGTTGAATAGAGCGCTTGGACCCGGAAGCCGCTTCGCGTGACGTCACACTTAACAAGTGGATGCTGACACACAAGCATTTGTAGCTCCGCCCTCTTTTGAAAAGAGCCCATCTCATTTGAATTTAAAGCAACAGTCACCAAAATGGCACAATTAGGATCAAAGCCTCAGAGGGGCAGTTATAAAACATTATATGTGTGGTATTTTGAGCTGGAACTTCACATACACACTCCAGAGACATCAGACTTATTTTATATTTTGTAAAAAGGTAATTATAGCTCCCCTTAAAATCATGAAGCATTTATTAGACAAGCAAAAATATAGTCTTGTTTTCCAATAATAATATGTCAGGTTTTTTTCTGCCAGTGGGCTCAGCAAAATAGTATTATTTCAAAGAGAAAACTAGATTATTTTGCTTACCCTATTGGCAAATCATTTTTAGATATTTGGATTGGAAACAAGATAATGGCAGGCAAATATCAACAACCTACCTTCTTTTCTTAGGTTACTAACTGTAGCATAAAGCTTTCTCTCTGGTGACTGAAGTGTTGTATTGTAGGGATGTGGTTTAGTACGTGATTATGTGTAGGTGTCTATTTGCGGGGTGGCATGCATGCTTTCAGTGCTATTAGGCTAACGTTAGCATTTTCCAAGATCTTCTATAGCACCTTTAATGGCAGATGGAAATGAGGCCTAAGTGTGTCCTTCTTTTTGTTTTGCACCAGGTATATCCAGCGCCACCTTACTGCACTCCAAATCCCTACGTGGGCACAGGGACTGCTTTGAAAAATACCATCTCATCGCCAACCAGAAGCTGTCCCGTGCCAAGGCCTCTCACAGCACGTATGAGGGCGTGAAGCGGGCTCTGAGCCAGCGAATCAACCGTATTATTCAGTACGCCCAGAACAGAGACTCTGTGACCCCCGAGAATCCTGGCCGCTGGGGGGCCAAACAGATCCTGTGCCATACGCAGCAGGCTGGGAGGAAGCTCGTGCCCCAGTCGGATGCCCAGGTTCCTCGTTACGCCCCGCGGTGGACAGAGGAGGCATCGATGGTGTCCGAATCAGACTATGGGAAATCTATGCTGGACTGTCACTCAGCAGAGGAGCTCGGCCTGGGACTGTGGCCTGGAGAGAGACCGCAGAATCGAGAGCAGAGAGACTCCAGACAGAGGAGACACTCGGGACATAGTCGAGAAGAATGTGAGTGTTCATGATTTATACAAAAATTCATTAAAACTGAATCACAAATGCAATTTGAAATGTTACAATTAGTTTAAAGTCATGAAAAATATTAGGGAATTTTGTATGGCTGCTCAATTATGGGAAAATCATAATTACGATTATTTTTTAAATTTTAGGTGTTTTATATTTGGTAAAATAATTTCTAATTGCATCTTTAGTGATTTTCAACTAATTACACTCTTGTCCCAATAGGTACATTTAGAGTCTCTTTGCAAAAAAGCACAAGTGGATTTAGCTGGTTTTGACGCAAAAGCAAATCTACCTTATTAAAAACGAAAGAATTGTCTAAAGTGACATAAAAAAAAAGGTATTTTATTTACTAGCTAGTAATCTTGTCATTATCTGTAAAATGAAACTTCTGAACCTTATCAGAGGAGCCTGATAGAAAATGCTCGTTTACAAAACAAGAGGTCTAATGGATTTAGAGGGTTTATATATAGATTTAGTTGTGTATATATAATTAAATTGAAATAAATTATAGCTTTTTTATAAAATATTGATAATAGAAAATAATAGAAGGCACAACAAATGTATAAATAAAGGTTTAAATGAGCATTTCATACAAACATTTTAGAGAAAATGTCAGACAGGTGTGCCTTCAAAAATTGATCGGTTAAAGAAATGGGCCCCTAAGTGATAAAGGTTGAGAGAACCCCTGATTTAAAAGGATTTGAAGAGGGGTGTACTTATATATGCTGAGCACTGTACATGCAAAGCCTTTTAGTGGTCATTTCTGTTAAATGATGCCAGAATGTAACGGTATTTTAAAATGGATGTATGAACCGTCTTTTCCGGGAAAAATTCTGGAACGTCTTTCCCTGTAAACAACACTTTTTTTTAAATAATCGGTAAAGTCGTTCCAAAAAAAATTCTGGATATTTACCAGTATCACTGTGTGAAAGGGGCTTATATTTCTCTTTTTTTGTTACTTAATTTCAAGAACAAATGTATGCTTTCTATTACAATTTTGCTGTGGTGTTCTCCAAATAAATCCAGCCTTGGTAACAATTGGAAAATTTTCTTTCAAAATGTTTTAAAAGAGGCTCAAACATTTGAACAGCCCCTTAACTGTGACTTTTGTGGCTATAATAATCCACTCTGTGAATGGTTTCAGCCACCGTTTAATTCTTGCGGCGTCAGTGAAGGAGAGAAATCAATATCCTCCGTCATTAGGCTTTTATCTGACGCTGTTTATCTCTGTATCTTTCCTGTCAATTCAGTCCACAAAACCCCAATAAAAGCCTGAGGTCACAATGCAGACCTTGAGTTCTTCAGTCTTCTTCTTTATTATTATCTTCTGTTAAAAACCTAAATCGGACATGTCATCAGGATCATGACGTGAGCGTTTCAGAGCATCTGTGTTGTCTGTTGGGAATAAAATGTTGAAATTAAAATAAATAAAGGACTGTTTTGAAGTCATTCGCTTTGGGCTGTGAATGAAGAGACATGTCAGTGTTCACTGTATTGAAAAGGAGAGCGGGAGGATGATTTTCAGACGGTTATTGTTTGTGTTTCAGTGATGAGGAAGAATGTGGAGGAGCTTCGGCAGCTGAACGAGCAGCTGCTGCTACAGATACAGAGTGAGTCGCAGCTTCTACCTTAAAGGAACAGCTCCACTAATAAATGTAGACATGCTGCGGGGGACATGAATGAATGAAATAATGCTTTCTTTCTTTTGATCACTTCTGTGCCATTATTCATAAAAATATGACGCATCACAACAACCTAAATTATTTGTAGTTATTTATTATTATTATTGATCTTACCAAAGCTAAATGCTACAGATATTTATTTTTATTTTCTTGATATATGTTATTTATTTGTGTTCTTGAATAATTGTATTAGTATTGTTTGATATTTATCTTATTACTTCTGTTTTGCTTTTTCATTTTAATTTTTGTCATTTTATATATATATATATATATATATATATATATATATATATATATATATATATATATATATATATATATATATATATATATATATATAATGATAAAAATGAAAAAGCAAAACAAAAGTATATATATATACACACACACACACACATTTTATTAGTTATATCATTTTTATTTACAGTTATTTCATATAATTCTATATTTTGTTTTTTTATTACATGAAGAAGTTGCAATAATAAATGTTTATTTGTTGGTGTGAAGTTTTCAACATGTTCTTGGAGGTATCAGCAAGAAAGATCTACGCTAAAACCTTATCCATATATGCCATTTATGTTATTTTACCTAAATGTGTCTCAATAATACTAGATGATTTAAAGGGATAGTTCACCCAAAATCATTGTCTCACCCTTCACTTGTTCCAATTTTGTTAGAATTTCTTTTCTTCTGTTAAACTCAAAAGAAGTTGATTTGAATAATGTTGGAAACCGGTAACCATTGACTCCTATAGCATTTTCTTTTTGTACTATGGCTGTCAATGGTGACTGGTTTTAAGCACTTAAGGGTGAGTAAATAATTTTTGGGTAAACCATCCCTTTTGAGTTTGGACACAGATACTAATTATTTCCAGCTGGAGATCCATACAATCAATCCCAGTTTATTTTTATTTATAGTTATTTCATACAAGTTTGTAAGATTGTTATATCTGGTTGTTTTTTTATTACCAGCAAAATATCTTCGCTAAAACCTCATCCATTTATGTCATTTTACCTAAATGTGTCTCAAAACTAAATTATTTTAAGGGGATAGTTCACCAAAAAAATTAAATGTTCATCATTTTCTTACCCTTCACTTGTTCCAAATTTGTTTTAATTCCATTTTTTCTGTTAATCACAAAATGAGATATTTTTGAAGAATGTTGGAAACCGCTAACCATTGACTCCCATAGCATTTTCTTTTTGTACTATGGCTGTCAATGGTGACTAGTTTGAAAGCACTTGAGCAACTAATTTTTGGGTGAACCATCCCTTTACGTTTTGATACAGATTACCCAGTATTTCCAGCTGGAGATCCATACAATCAATCCCAGTTTATGTTTGTAAAATACATTTTTATTATTTATTATTTTAGCTAAATGTGTCTCATAACTAAATGATTTAGATGGATAGTTCACACAAAAATTTAAAATTTCATCATTTTCTCACCCTTTTATTATTATTTTTTTTTTCTTTTAAATGCAAAAGAAGATAAATTGAAGAATGTTGAAATCCGGCAACCATTGACTTCCATAGCATTTTCCTTTTTGTACTATGGCTGTCAATGGTGACTGATTTGGAAGCACTTAAGGATGAGTAAATCAGTTTTGGGTGAACCATCCCTTTACGTTTTGATACAGATTACCCAGTATTTCCAGCTGGAGATCCATACAATCAATCCCAGTTTATTTTTGTAAAATGTGTTTTTATTATTTTACCTAAATGTGTGTCATAGCTAAATGATTTAAAGCAAAAGTTCACTCAAAAATTAAATGTCATAATTTTCTTACCTCTTTTTTTTCTGTTAAGTGCAAAAGAAGGTAATTGAAGTTTGTTATAAACCGGTAACTATTAACTTCCATAGCATTAAGTCAATTGTGATCAGTTTGAAAGCACTTGAGGGTGAGTAACTGATGCCAGAATGTTCAATTTTGGGTAATCAGTCACTTTTTAATGAACATTATCATAATATTTTGACACAAATCCCCAATATTACCAGCTGGAGATTCAAACAGTCAATCCCAAATTCCCAACGTATTCAGTATTGAAGTTTGAAGCTGTTGAACTGTTGTGTGTCCCTCAGATGTGTTCGAGGAGCTCTCTGTGGTCGTTCAGGAGAAAGACTCTCTCTCGTCAGAGCTTCATGTTCGACACATCGCCATCGAGCAGCTCTTCAAAAACTGCGCCAAGCTGCCCTGGCTACAGATAGGCAGAGCGGGCGTCAAAGCTGCAAACAACCCAGTGGAATAACAGATCTTCAGGTCCCACGAAAAAAAAAAAGACCAGAACCAAACCACAGACTTCCTCAGAAGCTCAAAGCTCAGACGGGAGACGCACAGGTGTCTAAAGTCACCAGAATGGTGGATTTTCAGTAGTAAAAGTACTGGATTTGTCCAAAGTGTTACTATGCAGAACGACAGACGTGTTTTTAATACATTTCCGTTGCTTTTATTTTATTTTTTGGACTGCTCACCTCACTGTTTACTCACTGCACTTGATCACGGGTGGTTCGTAGACTTGGATGAGCTTGACAGTGACATTCAGGCTTGCCGATTGTTTGTTGCCGTGGAAACTGTTGCTTGGTTTACGGTTGTCTCCTCCCTCAGCTCATTGCAGTGGAACTGGTTAGTGATGCTGGATATTGCATTATTATTTCTCCTGTTATGCAGAAGCTTTAGTAGTTTACATTTCTTTGGTTCTGTCTGACATTTTATCAGTGCTTTTAGCCCCAATCACAGGTAAAGTGTTAGTTTGTGCAAAAGGAGGATTGCTCGCGTTTGTCCAGGTTATGGCAGTAAGTAGAGATCAGCATTAAAGGGACCGTTCACCCAAAAATAGAAATGTATTCATCATTTACTTTCCCTCCAGTTGGTTCCAAACTTTTAATAATGTTTAATATTTAATAATAATGTTGGAAACTGGTCACCATTGACTTTTGTAGTAGTGAAAAAAGTGCTGTGGAAGTCAATGGTTACTAGTTTCCAGCTTTCTTCAATATATCTTCTTTTGTGTTCAACAGAAGAAAGAAACCCAAACTAATTTTGAACGATGTTCATAAATGATGATTATCTTCAGTTTTGGATGAACTTCCCCTTTAAGGTTTTTAGGTCCCATGTGACGCATACAGTATATATATATACTCCCTGAATTATTAGACCGCTTGTTTATTTTTTACCCAATTTCTGTTTAATGGAGAGAACAGCACATTTCTAATCATAATAGCTTTGATAACTGATTTCTAATAAAGAATTTATTTTATCTGTCATGATGACAGTACATAATATTTGACTAGATATTTTTCAAGACACTTCTTTACAGCTTAAAGTGACATATAAAGGTTTAATTAGGTTAATTCGGTTAACTAGGTAGGTTAGGTTAATAAGGCAAGTTATTGTATAACGATGGTTTGTTCTGTAGATTATCGGGAAAAAATAGCTTAAAGGGGCTAATAATTTTGTCCCTAAAATGTTGTTTAAAAAATTTAAAACTACTTTTATTCAAGCCGAAATAAAACAAATAAGACTTTCTCCAGAAGAAAAAATATTATCAGACATACTGTGAAAATGTCCTTGCTCTGTTAAACATCATTTGGGAAATATTTAAAAAAGAAGAAACAAATTCGAAGGGGGCTAATAATTCTGACTTCAACTGTATATATATATATATATATATATATATATATATATATATATATATATATGGCATTCTGGGAATATATGATAGGGCAGGGATGTCCAAACTCAGTCTTGCATAGCTTAGTCCTAACTTTCTTTAACACACCTCCCTGGAAGTTTCTAGTACACCTACAAAGAGCTGGATTAGCTGGTTCAGGTGTGTTTTATAGGGGGTTGGAACTAAAATTTGCAGGACACAGGCCCTCCAGGACCGAGTTTGGACACCAATGTGATAGGGTATAGTGAACAACAAACTGATATTTAATTCATTTTGCAAGTAAAAATCTTCATTTGTTCATTTTTGGGTGCAAATAGGTGCAAATACAACTATTCATTTAACCTGATGAATGCAAAATTCCTAAAGCAGACACACACTCAGAATTAAAGCTGTCACGCTCCTGTCATGGTCCCTTTTGCACATTCTGTTGACTAAAAGTTACATTGCAACTACATGCCAATTACTTCTCATTTAAGTATTAGACTGTCTGCTTAATATCTGTTGATGCTGATCCTTCAACAGACATTTAACTGACTATAAGAAACTTTGCAAGTACGTCAACTTACATGAACCCCAACCTAACAGTCTACTTATAATCTATTGAGAATTAGTTGGCATGTAGATGCAGTGTAGCTTAAATCCAACAGAATGCGTTAAAGGGACCATCAAAATAAAGTGATACCCTCCTAAGTTTATCTATGTACTACAATGCTCCTTTAATGTATCAATATAGACCATTTAGGAATAAATCTGTACCTTCAAAAGGCCACCACCTCAGTGAGCTCTCCAGTACCTTTGTTTCTGAGAGTGTAGTGTTACATGCTTGTGACAAACACAACAGACACTTTTACCTCAGACAAGCAAGTATTTACATTTGAGCTTTTTATGTCCACTAGTTGCTGCCATTGACAGGATAAATGCGAGCATGACATTTAAGTGTTATATGTTTATATCATTATTATATGTGGAATTCAGCTTGTCGTGGTTAAATTGACAGCTTTAGTACAACACCAGAGTAAGTAAACGACTTACAGGGACAAGTTCACCCAAAACCCAAAGTTCTGTCATTGTTTACTCTCCCTTGTTTTCAAACTGTTTGAGTTTCTTTATTCTGTTGAACACAAAAGAAGATGTTTTGAAGAATGCTGAAAACCTGTGACTAGAATTTGTGTACTACAGAAGTCAATGGTTACCGGTTTTCAACATTCTTCAAAATATCTTCTTTTGTGTTTAACAACAGAACACAAAACATGAAGGTCTGGAAACACTTGAGGGAGAGTAAATAGTGAGTAAATGTTTGTGTTTGGGTGAACTATCCCTTTCTGAATAAACCAACTCTTCGACAACAGTACAGTTTGGACATGAAGTCGAGGCCCTTCTTTGATTTAGGCTTAAACTGGTGCTGGAGAGAAAAAGACGCTTAACCAAAGCCTTTGTTACCTCATGGTAACTCAGTATTTATTCTATTAGGACAGTGGTTTGCTTGTTACAAATATTCAAAACCAAATTAGCTTGATTTCCCTATAGCTTTGTTTTGTTTTTAAATCGTGTGGTTTTCCTTTCGGTGGTGTTTAGAGGTTGTGTGAGCGCTATTATAGTATTTAGACTGAAAGCATATACTGTATATAGGGCAAAGAGAGCCTTTTCAAAAGCTGCCTTGATTTGAGATCAGACTGTGCTGCCATCTGGTGGGCATGTAGTAAATCTCGCCCACTTTTCTTGCCCTCTCGTTTGCATGCAGAATTAAGAGTTACGAAGTCTTATCTCTCTTTTAAAAAGGCGAATGTTTCGACATTGTTTTAAGAAGTCAGCTCAGTATTTTGAATGACCTGTTCTCTTTATAAGAGATGTGCATTTGACTGACCCTTCTGGGGTTTTTTGAGGATCTTTTATTTTCTATAAGTGAGTTAGTCGTGTTTTCTGGTCAAGCTCTGAGAGGAGAAACTATAGCTGTGAGTAATAACAGACGAACTGCGGAAAAGAAGCAATATGTGTCTGGATTGTTTTATTTTTTGTAAAATAATGAAGCACACTGCCCAAATGTGGAGATACTGAATGAGTGTGTGTGTGTGTGTGTGTGTGTGTGTTTTAATGTTAACTTGATTTTATTATTGATGATGTCTTATTCATTTCCTCTTCTGTTTGTTCATTGCTTGTGTTGTTGCTTTTTTTGTTTCTGTTATTTTTTGTACTTATTTTTTGCAATTATAGATCTTTTAGTTTCTCTCGCAATTCTGACATATATTTTTTTCTTAAAATGGAAAAAGTGAGCTATAAAAGCAGCTTTAGAAAGAAAAACGAACTGTGAAGCATAAAATCTGAATTTGTCCGCAAAAAGTCAGAATTATATTGATTATAGAAATTAGATATTGAATTCTGACTCTTTTGTCAATATATTGACAATTAAAAAAAAAAAAAAATTTTAAATATCTTACTGAAATTGTGAGCTGTAACTAGCATTAAGTAAAAAAAGTTCTTTATATTTCACAGTTCTGAATCTTCACTGTAAAAACTAAACATGGACTCAACTTAAAATTCTCCACTTTTTTGAGTTGACTCAACTTTTAACCCAAGTACTGCACTTGACTCAACTCAAAATTGTGAGGCAATAACAGAGCTTTCTAAGTCGAGTCGACTTTTTTTAACAGTGTTGAATATAAAGTCAGAATTTGAAGGGGGAAAATCTAAATGGAGTTTATAATAAGTATTTCCCTTGTGCTCCTCCTAATTGTGTATTACGACGTAAAATCAGAAGATGTAAAAATCTTGCAATTCAGTTTTTTTCCTTTACACTAAAATCATGAGATATAAAAGCAGCTTTAGAAAGAAAAACTGAACTGTGAAGCATAAAATCTGAATTTGTAAGCGAAAATTCAGAATTATTTTGATTATAGAATTTAGATCTTGTAATTCTGACTCTTTTGTTCAAAATCTTAAATTGTGAGCTCTAACTAGCATTTCAAGTAAATAAGTTTTTATTTTATTGTTTCACAGTTCTGAACTGTTTACTGTAAAAAAAAGTCGACTCAAATCTTATCCTAAGTACTGCACTTGACTCTATTTAAGTTGAGTCAACTCAAAGTTTACAATTTATGTTGAGTCAATTATGTGTCGTAAAATCAGAATCAGAATTTGTAAAAACCTTGCAATTCAGTTTTTTATTTAAACTGAAAAACATGAGATATAAAAGCAGCTTTCAGAAAGAAAAAAATGAATAGTGAAGCATAAAATCAGAATTCGTAATCGTATCTTGATAAATTGTGAGCTGTAACAAACATTACAAGTAAAAGTTTTTTTTATATTTCACAGTTCTAAATTGTTCACTGTAAAAACTAAAACTTAAAATTCTCAGCTTTTTTGAGTTGACTCAACCTGTAACCCAAGTACTGCACTTGACTCTATTTAAGTTGAGTCAACTTAAAAGCTCTGTAAGGTGCCTTTCAATTTTGAGTTGACTTTTTTTAACAGTGTTGAATATAAAGTCAGAATTTGAAGGGAAAAAAATAGTTTATAATAAATATTTCCCTTTTCCTCCTCCAAATTGTGAATTATGATGTAAAATCAGAAGTAAAAAATGTAACGATAACCTTGAAATCGTGAGCTATAAA